TTATTCTCCCAGATGTTCAGTGTGAATAGACAACATGGATTATTCTCACAGATGTTTATCTTAGGTTTACCCGACCCCAATTCAGCAACATTTATAAAATTCAGAGAAAAATAAGTAAGGAACTCGATATACCTTTCCTAAAGAAAACCACATATTAAACATTATTATGTAACATTGTTTTTGTTTTCTTTTCTAGATATGCAACCATGTATTAGTAAAAGACATCAAAACAACAGTGTTGGACTTGAGGTGACGTGCTCCAGATGCACAACCATCTGCGCCAGATACCTGCCATGGATGTGTGTGACTGATGAATTTCTTATGATGTTTCCAGGAGTGACTGATATTTTATATTTATATATTTTAGACCAAAACTTTGATATTTATTGTTCTTGCATATTTTGAAGTTTCCTTTTTGGGTTGCTGTGTCTCAAAGGAGGTCACATGCTGTTCAATCTATACCCATTAATGTACCCAAATAATATCCTCAGAAAATAAATTGTGCTGCAAATAACAATATACCTATTTGTAAAAATTTATTTAGGTTTTATTTTTATATGTATGAATGTTTTGCCCACATGTATATATGTGTACCATGTACATGCTTGGTGCCAACAAAGGTCAGAGCAGGGCTTTGGATCCACTGGGACTTGAGTCAGTTGGTTGGAAGCCACCATGTGGGTGCTAAGAATTGAGTCCAGGGTTCCTTGCAAGACCAAGGAGTATTCTTAATGGAGCCAACACTCCAGTCCCAATATGTCTGGTATATTTTTTTAAAAGTCATTGACTTCCCATGGTGACAGGAAAGGAACTGTTGAAGTGGGCAGCTCACCCTGAAGCAGCTACGTGTCAGGGACACTTGGTGATAACACTTATCTGCACACAGTCGTCAAGAAAAAAATAGTGGTGACGTGTAAAAAATAACGAGTGACGTGGCTGGTCCTTCTTCCTTTTAGTGTAAATACAGCCACTGCGTTTTCTTACAGAGGCAGAGATTGGTCAAAGGAAGAGGGAAACATGATCCAGGTGCATTATGAAGCTTTTAAAGAAGATTCTCAGGGTTTCACAAAGTATGTTCTTTTTAAAAACAAACTCAAAAATTACACTTTCCTAAATACGTATGGTTTGATGTGCATTAAAATCAAATAATATACAAGGCTTGATGCAAATTAAAAGTCACACATGCATATTCATGCATAAGTGTAAGGTTTAAAGCAAAATATATCATTTTAGTAAAGCAGCATTGCTTGTCGAATTTTAAATGCCTGTAAAAATTGTTTTTGTTTTCACTTATCAAGTTGCCATTATATGTATAAAGTAATATAATCGCTCAACCAGTCATGAGGTCAGTGTAGATTTTTCATATTGGCCCTAATATATATTATTATATGTAATATATGCATGTCCTATGCACTCTCAAATGCATCCTGTTTACATCATTTAAGGGGGCTTCCTCTTGTCGAAGTGATTTTTATCCATTGCCTGGGAACAAGCCATTCTAATGTGTCATATCCTTTCTTGACCACTAGAGGGAGCCACTCCATATAAATGCGTCCCATCTAGCAGAAGCCATTCACAGTGTTGATGATAGGCCAGTGCTAGAAGTTCAGGGTAGCACATGTCTGATTTATTAAAAAACACGAGTAACAAGTCAAAGCTTTGGGTAGGAATGATTTAGAAAGGAACCAAAGGCGCAGATCCACAAAACATTCACAGTCGTGTGCTAGAGACAGAGCAGGGAGGTGGCTTAGAAGCATTTGCGGTGCACAATGGAGGGACCAGCTTCGTCGTATTCCTGTTTGCTGATCCACATCTGCTGGAAGGTAGATAGAGACGCCAGGATGGAGCCGCCGATCCAGACAGAGTACTTACGTTCTGGAGGGGCAATGATCTGTCAGGATAAGAAAAGGAGAGGTCAGTGCCTGGAGCAAGCTGACCCTTCCAACTGGGGTAGAGTGATTCCCTGGTGAGCTCCTTGATTTTTGTTTGTTTCTTTTGTTTTTATGCAATCTATGCCAAACCTAATTTTTTTTTTATCCTTTCATCGGGTAAATGCAAACTGGCCTTAGATCATGTGGGGTCTCCACATAAAAGCCCTGACTAGTCTCCAGGGGAGGCCCTGGGGGCTGGGCCTAAGAGCTCGGCAGGGCCTGCACTTACTGTAGAAGTCCTGGTGTTGTGTGCAGGGACATTGCAAATGTTCCAGAACTTTCGTGCAGGTGTTCTTCACCTGATTAAATTGACCACTCTTTTCTGAAATCCCTACCAGATACACCAATTCGGAGAGGGCTCCAAGTCCCCCTTTGGAGTGTTTCCTGCAGGGGCTGGCTTTATTCAGGGTATCAGGCCAGGGTGTGATGGGCCACAGCAACTCAAACCCAGAGCTGAGCAGCACCAAGCTGAGCTCAGGTCTTAGCTGCTTGGCCAGCAGCAGGTGCACTGGTGAACGAAGTGTCCTGAAATGCTTGCTGGGCGAGCGTTTTCTTTCTGTTCGCCCACAAGCTCTGCTTCAACATCCATTTGTTTTTTCTCTCATTCACTGAGCTCTCACTGTCGCCCCCGTGCTAGATATTTAACAGGTATTAGCTTGTTTGATTCCTATATCGATTCTGAAGGTTAGGTATCCAGTGATTCTCATGTTACATACAAAGAAATAGGCTCAGGGGACTGCCGGTAACAGCCACAAGTGGCTAGGTCAGTATCAGGTTCACTTTTAAGACTGGTCCCCACAGGAGTTTTGTTTTGAAGCTATTCATTTTCTTTTCCATGGGGAGGGGATTTGGTGATAACTTAAGAGTTCCAGGAAGTTACGCAGATGGTACAGGGACTTCCTGACGTTACTCAGGCTCATTCCGTGAACTCGTCGTGTTGGTGTCCCCAATTATATTGTCTCTCGGTGCTCTCTGCCCATACGAGGCCCCCAAGTTTCACATCTGTTTCCATTTTAAGGTTAGAGAATTGAGGCTTGTCTCAAGTCCTGTTGCATACAGCCTGCCTATTCTCAAACTCCAACTAAGTAGTTTCTGCAGCATGCTCAGCCGCTCAGACAGCTGTCCGAGAGTGGGGGGATTCTAGCTGGTCAGACAGATATCTAAGGAGCCCAAGCCCCCAGGAAGCAGTGGTTCCACTCTCACCATGCTGTCCTCTAGAGAAACTCTCTCAGAGCCTGTTTTAAATAAGTCTACATCACTCCCAGCTCAGCCTCATCACCCTTGGAAACAACAGAGAACTTGTTAGACTGCCTCACAAGCTGGAGGCTGCTCTAGAACTGTTCCGCCCCCTGCCTCCCGAGTCAGAGGGTCTTAGTGTGGTACCTTGATCTTCATGGTGCTGGGTGCGAGAGCCGTGATCTCCTTCTGCATCCGGTCAGCAATGCCCGGGTACATGGTGGTGCCCCCTGAGAGGACGTTGTTAGCATAGAGGTCCTTCCTGATGTCGATGTCACACTTCATGATGCTGTTATAGGTGGTTTCATGGATGCCAGCCGACTCCATCCCTGGAAAAGAGACACAGGTCGTGGTCCTTGGGTTCTGAGAAAAACTTGGGTTGATCAAGGAAATCCAGGTCGGCACAACTGACTAATCTTCTCTTGGGTGAAGCTGCAGGCCTCAGGAACTAGAAACTACCATCCAAGAGATCAAGGACCTTGTAATGCTTCATGCCCAACTGCCTCCTCCAAAGAGGAGGCTCAGCTGCAGCACTTCATGGGTGAGGTTACAACATGCTAACACCAGTGTCTCTGCAGGGATTGCTATACATGGCTTGAACAAGGGGTTAGGCCTTCAGGTGTTCCGTAAAAGGGAGGGCCAGAGCCATTGATTAGAACAGCCCCATCCCTCCCTGACTGTTATTTTATTTTGCGCCTCCAACACCCAAGATTGAATGGTGAATGGTGGAATCATTCAATCGGAAAAGTATCTCTCCTACTTAGATAAAGTTTCTGCTTTTGTTTTGTCTTTTGCTTCTTTTTTTCTTTTTAACACTGGTCTTTCTAGGTGTCTTTTAACTGGTCTGGAACTTGCTATAGAACAGGCTGGCCTCAAACCCATAGAGATCCACTTGCCTTTTCCTCTCTAGTACTGGGATTAAAGGCACGTCCTTCTATGCCCAGCTACCAAGATGCTTTTTATGGTAATCTTTGTATAAAGATGTTTTGAGGAGAGAGGGCTGATTGTCTTGTTGACTTATGATGCAGGCTTTTTTGTAATAAACCTCTAGGTGGCCCCCTCTTCCTTCTTAGCACTGTCATCTAGGTCTTTTGTAATTAATTAATTATTCTTTACTGACAGTTGTGAACTGTTGAAGGCTTGAAGCACCAGGATGAGGGTGCTATCCAAGTCTGCTATAAACCTCCCAGCTACCCTAGTAGGAGGAAACTGAGTCTCAGAGAGGTTAAGTGACATTCTCAAAATCCTGAAAATAGAGCCAAGTCTCAAGCACCTGGCCCCCAGCCTCCAAAAAGGATGCCTCTGTAAAACCCTCTGGTGACTGTGCCTTGCCCGTATGGAATAGGTGCCCTCTAGTTGTTCTGCCCCACCCCTAGCATTCCCAAACTCAGAGCCCCAACCAGTCCTGTGCTCCACTACATCCTAAACAGAGATACCGTTTATCTTTTACATTGCATGTGGAGAGCATGTTTGGGGGAACCATGACTTAAGAGAGGTTTCCGAGGCCATCAAGTGCTTTCTTGGCTCCCTGTGGTCTTCTCATTTTGGAAATATGGCACTTTCCTTCCTGTAGGACTGCTTCTGTTTCTGAAGCCCTGATTCATTTCTAGATGCAAATGGGTACTGGTAGCCAGGGCTGGCTGGGTACAGTACAGGGAGGCTCCACCCACCCAGTGCCTACCGATGAAAGATGGCTGGAAGAGGGTCTCCGGGCAACGGAAGCGTTCATTCCCAATGGTGATGACTTGCCCATCAGGCAGTTCGTAGCTCTTCTCCAGGGAAGAGGAGGAGGCGGCAGTGGCCATCTCGTTTTCAAAGTCCAGAGCTACATAGCACAACTTCTCCTTGATGTCACGGACAATCTCACGCTCAGCTGTCAAACACATGCAAACACCGTACGCATTAGGGTTTGCGCGGGGGCTAAAGCCTACCCACCCCATGCCACTCTTTGCTGGACCAGCTCCTCAGAAGACTCAAGGTTCCCAGAATGCCTCAACGATCTTTGCTTCCCTGCCCAGTTCTATAATGGCTCGACCTCTGACACATTCTTTACTTTTGAAAATGAAGCGGATGGTAGGTAGCTCAGGCCGGCTCCAGTTCCCATGGGGCATACAGAGAGAAACATGGAAAAGGAGGCTGCCGACTCCTCAGGATCCAGTGCCTTAAGCTTCCAAGGCCCCAATTCCACCTGTTTCCTGGGAGTCTTTGGGTGGTGTTTTGGGGGACCAGAATAGAATGAATTCAACATCATATTGGAAAAGAAGATTATAATGTCTGTCAGGGTTCAAACACGGAGCCTAGAATTGGTTGCAAGTAGTCCAGAAACCTAAAATTTGGACAGGTCCCAATTTGTA